TCTTCTTTTTTCTTTTTAGCTTTTCTCTTTAGCTTTAAGGGTCAATGAAAGCCGTATTGATGAAATCGAATCGAAATGGGCTCGCGCGGTAGATACGTAAATGCATGGTGCGTGGGCTTTATGAATTTTTCCTTTCCCCCCTTTTCTTTCCCCTTTTTTTTTCTTTCCCCTTTTTTTTTCCTTTCTTTTCTTTTCCTTTTCTCTTTCTTTCCCCCTTTTCCTCTTTTTTCCTTTCCTTTTTTCTTTTCGTTCCCCGCCGCTAAATCGCTGAATCACTGAATGGCTAAGTGGATGGGATGGGATGAAGGCTTCTCGGCTGCTTTTCCCTTTTTTGTGTGTTTTCTTTTATTTATTTCTCTTTTCTTTATTCTATTTTTGATGGGGATGGAGGTGGAGGTGGGGATGGAGGGGTTTGTTTGGGGTGTGGATTTCTTTTTTGTGGGGGGGAAATAGGATAGATGGGATAGATGGATGGGATGGGATGGGATGGATGGAATGGGATGGAATGGGATGGAAAGGACAGGACAGGACAGTAGTGATGAAATGATGAAATGATGAAATGGAGCGATTGGGAATTGGGAATTGGGAATTGAGAATTGGCTAGGTAACTTGAACGAGCTTAGCTTAGTAGAGTAGAGTAGAGAAGAGTAGAGAAGAGTAGAGTAGAGAAGAGTAGAATAGAATAGAATAGAATAGAATAGAATAGAATAGAATAGAATAGAATAGAATAGAATAGAATAGAATAGAATAGAATAGAATAGAATAGAATATAATTAAATAGAATTAAATACAAAACCAGATCAAAAATGAAATGAAAAATCAAAGTAAAAAGAAGTGATATAGAGTGGTCGAGGAGGAATGGATCGATGGGTTATTTTCGGAAGTATAAAGTATAGAGTTGATTGATTCATTTCTTTTTTTGGGGGGGGGGTAGGGGAGGGGGGTTTGATTTTTATGTTTTCTAGGAGAGGCGGATGGATGAGTAGGTTGGGGTAGGTGGTTAGATGGGTAGGTACGGTAGATGGGTGGGCCTCTCTTGTCTTGGATGATACGATGATGTTGTATCACGTCTGGTTGTGGTTGTGGTTGTGGTTCTGATTCTCGTTCTAATCTCATCTTTCAGCCTGAACTTGAAGCCGAACTCGAAGCCGAACTCGATCCCGATCTTAAGCTATGCGTATAGAGAAACGAAACCGATGAGCTTTTTCAGAGAGTTTTAAGAGCAGGGAGTCAGTAGACGAAGCGATTACTGCAGCTGCATGTATGGAGGAGGGTGTCCTGGGTTTATAGGTACCTACCTAGGACCTACTTCTTGTGATTCCCGTCGTCTCTTCTTCGCCGAGCTGGGTGAGAGGCGGAGACGGGGGAGGTGCGCTGGAGGAGGGACATCTACCGGTATGTTTATATCTACATCCATCCATCCATCCATGCGTATGAGAAAGGTGTTTTCCATTCTTGAGAAGTACCTACTCAAGCCTGTTCCATAGGTAGGGGGACGCGAGATTCTGTAAGTGGAGCATATGCGGAGGGAGGTTCGTGGATAGGTAGGTAGGTAGGTAGGTAGGTAGGGAGGGAACTGGGTCTCAAGCGATCTCCAGTAAGCAAGCAAGCAAGCGAAAGACAGAGGGAACCAAACAATCAATTATCCAACTATCCAACGATCCAACTCATCAACTAACTAACTTACTACCGAATCCCGCGAAGGTATTGATTGAGATCGCTACGTTACGCTAGCTACGCCATTACGAGGTCGATCGGGGGATTACAGCGTCCGCGGCGGCTTTATCGAGACCAAACCAGCTGAACCTGTCACCGTCCGCAATGTCTCCGAGAACAGCCAGAGTAGCGTAGAAAGCAAAGGGAAAGAAAAGGGGAAAGGAGGACTTGTGCGCCATCTGACTAGTTCAGGCGCGAACCGACAAAGTACCTAACCCTCCCGGATTGACAGGTGCAGTAGCCAGCCCTCCCTCATCAAAGCTTGAGCAGGGCCTCTCTCACCTCTTCGATCGGGCCTCCAGCTCTCCGATGAGCTTTGCATTACGCATGTCGATTGCTCGATTTGTAAGTAAGTATTGCAAGCCGGAGAAAGAAAGAAGCTCTGTGACTTCGCAGTAGTCCTTTCTTTCTTTTTTTTTTTTCTTTTTTTTTTTTTGGCTTCGGCTGAACTTCTTCCGAAGAACAAACTCGGGCGTCGTGGAAAGGATCATCACTACTTGATTGCTCGGACAGACTTGCAAGGGTTCCAAAGCGTGCCTTTTGAAAGGCACGTTTCTCTCGTTATCGATCTTTTTTTTGCTTGGCTTGCTGAAGAGCCGCGGTCATCGCATCGATATCTCTATTGCGCTACGCACACTTCTCCTTCTGCTTTTCGTTCGACATGCGAAGCTGGAGGGGTCGCCGAGGCCGAAGAGGTATCAGCAGCAGCGCGTGCCTGCTTCTGTCGTGAGATAAGGGTCCGCGATGGTCTTTTGGGCAGGCGTGGACTTCGGGAGGAGACTCGCAAGACAAAAAGAGCCTTTCGTGATGAGAAACCTCGAGTTTGCTTCGATAAGGACCGAGATGGCAAGGTGGCGTTGTTGATCTTGAGTTGACCACGGAAAAATAAATCGATAGTGGTACTCACGAATTAATGTCACTTTCGTACTGGGGGTAAATAGGTACCTAGAAGTAATGTACAGTTCTAGTCTGTGCGCACTAGAATAGATACTTGGCAATGCTGCTTGAATTGTTATCGTTATATCATTGGTACAGTAATCATACCCTTTGCACAAGAGCCCTGTCAACGGAAACCTCTAGAATTGCGCTCAGACAGCGTTTGTACATTATGTCGGGTTTGTACCGAGTACAAGGCTTAGAACGTGCAACTTCCACTACGTATCAAGTTAGTTGAGTTGATCTTATTTAAGATCAACTCAGCTCAACTCAGCTGCTTAGTTGCACGGATCTACAACTGTAAGCCATACACACCCTTAGGTACTTTATGATCATCAGGTCATCATACAGGGAGAGAGAGAGAGACAGATATGTATACCCTCTCTATCCCTCACGCTCGAACATCATACAACAGCAATTTCATTTTTCAAAAGAGCGATATTGGTAATGATCATGGATCCTTCAAAAATCCAAGTGCGGAGCTAGACTAGACGAGACTAAACTACATACAACTACACTATAAACAAGGAATCTAGCTCCAAAAATCCCCTTACCATCATAGTCCAAACCCCACTCGCCATTTTGGGGCCTTTCCATTTCCCTAAATTAGCGAGGTCAACTCCGACTATCACTTTCATCCAAACTACCTCTTGATGGGGCACCAACTACAACCAAGTCGAGCCAAAACTAACCGTACGTACGCATGTACTATCTACTCACAAGATGCCTATAAAAAATGAATGAGATCATCTTCCATATGACCTGCCTACCCTATGAACCAATATTTAGTTAGACCATGAGAGTAGTGGCCCGCATTGAGAGAAAGAGATTTTCTTCTCTTTTACTTTCCAGAAGAAAAAGAAGAAAAAGCCCCTTCTTCCTTTGACACTTGCTAGAACGTCGTCTTTCCCTCCCACTCCCCATTACCGAAGAAGAAGATAAAAAAAACAGACAACAAACGAGGACATGACCGGCACAAACCTTCTCGACGCAACCTGCGTCTGGACGCTGACCGCAGGCTACAGCCACCTCACCGGCATCGACATCGACATCGACGACGCCCTGAAGACCACCTGCGCCCACCACGCCAGCGACTCCTCGCCGTGGCAGCAGGCCTACGAGATCTTCATCGCCATCCTGCTGACGGTGATCGTGACCTTCAGCCTGATAGCGGGCTGCAGCAGCCGGGCGAAGCTAGTGCGCAAGCTGCGCGAGACGCCCTCGTACCGGATCCACCGCGAGCTGGAGAACATGTACGAGGAATACTGGGTGTGCACCGCGAGCCGGAAGCTGCGGGAGGCGTGGCGCCGGGCCGGCAGGAGGTACGTCAGCGTGACGTACGTGGATGATGCCGTGGCTATGAGGCGGACGGTCACCGTTGTCGAGGACTTACGGCTAGCGCCTAGGCCTCGGGCGGGCGACGCCGAGAGGGAGGGCGTCAAGGACGAGGAGCGAGGGAGGGCGTATGAGCTGCAGGATAGGACAGGGCGAGCAGGAGCAGGAGCAGGAGCAGGAGCTGGAGCAGGAGCAGGAGCTGGAGCTGGAGCTGGAGTAGGAGCTGGAGCTGGAGCTGGAGCAAGAGCTGGAGCTGGAGCAGGAACTGGAGCAGGAACTGGAGCAGGAACTGGAGCTGGAGCAGGAACTGGAGCTGGAGCAGGAACTGGAGCTGGAGCCGTTGCGCCGCCGCCAAATCCTGCGGCCAGCCAGGCTCCATCACTGGCAGTCCCTCCTCCTGTGGCGACGAGAGATGAGAGCTATTTGGTTGCAATAGACTCAACATTCACGGATGAGGAACTGAGGGCATCTCCACCACCATACCAGCGCGGGCGATACACGGTCTGACGGGTAACGATAACAGAAAACGGCATGTCGAAGTGAGAGACAGCTCTTGGAAACGGCAGAGCTGCTCGAGGAAAAGGGTGTTCTCTCTTTAAACTCGAGTATGGCGATATATCCTTGATATATGACGCAATTACCTCGTCTTCTGATATTCCGAACTATCATCACTTCGTTAATTATCAAATCGACTGTCCTCAGGTCCTCATACCGCGAAGAACACTCAAGGTCTCCCAGAATCCTTGTTCAAACAAATTTTAGGATTTAGCTGCGCGCCGACTGCAGGAAACGCACAATTAGTGTTGATATTAAGAAAAACAGAAGATTTATACCAAAAAATAAGCCGCGTACTGGGCACAGCTGGAAAAGACGACCAACCCGTGTAAACAATTGACCTAACAACGAAAACAAAGCGTTCCATCGTCCAAAATGGGCGAGGGAGTTAAGTGCCAACAATGGTTGCTCGCTTGCTCGCTCGTATTGTCAATATGTACGGTTGTACGGAGTACGGAGTAGGACAGCTAAGTTCCAGCTCAAGCCGGCTACATCCGGCCGCGAAGAAAATCTCCGAGGACTTGATTGTGTGGCTGGCACACAAATCTCTCCCGATCCGGATGAAAGGAACGGATAGCAATACTGTATGAAAAGAGCACATTCAGTGATATACACCCAATGACAAGAGAGTCTCGGAAATCGCGGGAGCGAGAATGGGGTACGTACGGGTGGATGTACGGAGTAATCTAGCTGCACGTCGCTCCTTACCAACAAAAACAAGATGCTCGACGCATGCAATTCCGCACACGCAAAAGAAATGTAAGAGATGAACATGTAGCTCGCGTTAGCGATCGTTATGGATGCAGAACTCCATAGCGTACTCAGCGAGACGACATCCCATCGCTTTGCATTGCGGCGGGATCTCAGGCTCTCCCTCCTTGGGTTTAATGAGCAGCTCGAGATGTAACCCTTCTCGTGCATTGCTGTAGCGGCCTGCCACGGTCTGCATATGGCTATAGGCCCGATCGGGATACAGTCGCAGCGTGGGCAAGCAGTCTGCGTGCGGATCTAGATAATCCTGGTGTGTACCGTATGTACTGTACCGTACCGCTGCGGATATAGAGCTGCAGCACCTGCGGTAGATCGGCGTCAGTAGACTCCATGAATTTCGTATGGCATGATGGCATCTGTCAACCTTTGTTCTCGCTCTCTGGCCGATGCATTGTCGAGACTCGTGTACTATTGCATTACCCTTCGGTGTCGAGACGGAACTCGACTTTCTCCCCTCGAGCATATGTCTACCCATCCTGCTATATCCGTATCCCATTCATTTGGATTCTTGCGGTAGGGTGCGTCTATCTCAATCGAGAATAATGCCCAAGCTGAGCAGGGCGACGGCGAAAGGTCCCTCGTGGAGTCTGGCATTGAACGCGTGGCCGGCAGAATGCAAGAAGCCCGTAACGATAAAGAAAGACTCCGAGTACCAAAGTTTCCCAACCGGCAGATCTGCATCCGTCCAGTCCCTTGTTAGTGGTTTCTTGTTCGTGGTTCCAATACTCCATCAGTTGTGCCGGATCTCATGAGGATCTTTGGATGCAGGATCCGCTCGTTGACATTACGTCGGTGGTTTGCAGATCAAACTTATGGCAGAGGATTGGCGGGTGATCTTTCAACACATTGAGCCAGCATTTGCTGGCCGATATTCAAAATTAAACGGTCGCAGAATTGAGTGTTGATAGATTAAGATGCGCGGCTGCGCGGCGCCTCGGACCGCGCTAAGTGTTTACGGTAAACCTTGTCTGCACATCCCTTCTGGAGCCATAGCCTTCATTCTACCTTCAACCCCTTAATAACCAGACTCTGACCTAACGAATGAACATCGTCATCCACCTGTCTCTAATTCGTACTTCGTATATATCAATACCGGTAAAAAGCTTTGAGGCGACGTACGAATAACAGAGCTTCCTCCTCACTCTCTCGTGTTGCCCCAGATGGACACCTATCTACCAGGATGCTCTGTATTTTCCTCAGAAGTGCTCCTTCTTTCCGTCACCGGCCAATATGTCAGGCCGCTTCCCTCGAACACTCAAGTGGGCGGCCTCTTGCAATTGTCAAGTTCAGCGATAAATCTGTTCTCTAGGCAATATTTTGCTTCATAAAATCCCCATCGCCTCGCTTGAGCTGATTTCCCAGCCGTTAAACTAGCGGATTATGTGAACGGGACTGGCAGAGCTCTGGCGACTTTTATATTCAATACCTTTGACACCTGTCAAAGGCAAAGGGCAGTTCAAAGATTTCTATTGCATTATGTCTTTTCCACCCATCTCCCGAATCATTTATTAGGCTCCACTGGCCTGCCCCTTTCTTTAAAGTCCACGGCATTTGTCGAAATGAGTTTCTCTTAACCTCCTTTTGAGCTGGAGAAAAGCTCTATTGTACCTTACAAGAGATGAGAGAGCACGATCTCCGTCAAGGGTACATGGGTCACGATCGGATTACCACTGGATCCTCATTAAGCGTAACTAGCAGATCTCAGGGACTCTTTCATTGCTGGCCTGCCAACTCTTAATTCTGATCATTTTTTGCAGCAAATTCCCTTCCAAAGAGATCTCTTTTGATATTCAAGTCGAATTTCAAATCGAGCCTCAAATTACATATGGGTCGTCAACTATCATTGTTTTCTGATATTTACTTACTAATTTATCAAGAATTTACAGACAGAAGTGGCGCACGCGACGAGAAAAGCAGTCGCTCCTTTCTGCAGTCTCCTTTTACAAGAGTATCACGTGCCGATTCTGCTCGCTTAATATTCTTTACCCCCCGAGTTACACTTTTGCTATGCTCCGGCCATACTCGTTTCGTTTCGCCGCAGATGCAAATCTGAACCATCCTCAGCAAACTACATTTGAAAAGAATTCAAAAAGTTAAATCCGAGCTTGAGGTTTGCGTAGCCTCGAATCTACCTACCCAGCAACCACGGGGATTGGTAGTATGGAAGTAAGGTATACCTCTTCTAGCGAAGGCAACAATTGGCTGTAACGGCCAGCTGGATTATCGTGTTGGGAAGAGAGGGTGTTTCTTTATCACACGTGCCACTGCGCCGACTATGCTACGGGGATGGCCCCTTCTCATCAAACAAAGCGCATTTCATAATATCCAGGCAGCTCTTGGGGAGACAAGGGCACCAAGGGCCTCAGAACTACCCCGGCGGCAGCGGCGATGGTTCGGGCTAGCTGGCTCTATGAGAGAAAAGATAGGGATGGCAATTGAGATCGACGCCTCGGTTCGCAAACCACAAAGCATGCAGGCAAGGACCGCGTTTTTGCCTTCGAGCTTCTGATGACGGGATCCCTGGACAAGGTCCATGGAGATTTTCTCAATTTTCTCGAACGAGATGTTGACTTTTGGATGTGTCTCCCGGCTTTCTCTGTATCCAGTCGCAGCTCGTCCAAGTGGTATTGCAACCGGCCAGGAACTGGTATAACTTGTTTGTTTAATGACAGATGCGAGTTCAATACTGCTTCAAGCAGTAGCCTATGACTCTATGCATCAAGGGTTTCGTGTGTTTCTCGTGAAGACATTACAAATCACGGCCTATCAAGCACCGAGTTCTTCAATAGGCCCCCCTTTCGAACAACCATTATGTAAACCAGTCAGGAACCGGTATGATCTGTTTGTTTATTGGCAGATGCGAGTCATATATTCCTTCAAGCATTGATCTTCAAGCTCTATGCAATATAGATTTCGTGCATATCTTTTCAAGTTTCTGTACATCACGGTTTATCATGGACCGAGCTCTTTAATGAGCCCCCGTTTCGGCTAAGCAGTATTGGAACCGGTCAGGAACCAGTGTAATTTGTTTCTTTATTGACAGATGCGAGTCCTATACTCCGTCCAGCAGTGATCTTTAAACTCTATGCATTATAGATTTCGTACATATTTTTTCAAGTTTCTGTATATCACGGTTTATCATGGACCGAGCTCTTTAACAAGCCCCCATTCGACTTCTCGTTTTCATACAATGTAGCTTTTGCCGTGCGAGTAGCAATCGTCGATATGTTGAGAATTGGCGAAACTAATCTTCTGGCCAGACGACTTGGCCCCTGGTGGTTTCCGACTCGGCAGTGTTCTCTAGTGAAATCTCGGGAGTCTTGAACTTGGGGCGAACCTCGACCATTCATGTTTCAACCTGCGTTTCCAGACCTTTGGGCCGAAGCACAGCTGATCTACTGAATGGATACTTTCGCTGCTTTGAAATTTTCTGAGGAGTTTATCGGCTTCGCGACTGGTGCAGAAATGTTTAATGTCTGTCCCATCTGGATTCATGTCGTTGAATTTGCCTTTGTGGTCCCCTGTAAAGCTGCATTTTCCCGCCTTGACTCGCCTCCACCCTGTCTATACACATGCCTGTCTCCTTCGCTTGCATGGAAATCAGCTTGGCTCGATACCATGCAGGACCTCGATCCTGTGTTAATTGCTGGAGCAGCCCTTCTCCTGTCTCTCTTCCATCTCTCTCTCTTTTGGACATCTTGTCGCTATCGTCGATCTTCAATGACAGTCCCACGAGCAACAGACTGTCAATATGTTCTTACCTTCTTACAGTTACAGTAATGCTGTTATTATTATGTTGATGCTATCACGAGCAGGAGCTTCGGCACAGATACAAGAGAAAATTGCTGCTCTTCCTGCATGCTCCAACAATTGCATGATCAGAGCGGCCACGAGTTCTGGGTGCGCACCAGATGACTTCGGGTGCCAATGTCAGAAGCAAGATGATCTCACCGGAATCACTGGGGCTTCGCAGAATGCATGCTTGATGGAAGATTGCGGAGCTGCAAACACCAATAGTAAGTAGGAGCCCAACGTCAACCCATTTCTATCTTAACTCGTTCTTCAGACGCCCAGGATGTTTTCCGACAGATATGCAGTCTACTCAAAGATTCAACATCGTCGTCTTCTACAGCACCCAACCCAACAATCGAGCCTCGGTCTCTACGTCCGGCACAAACTTTCACTGTCCTTATTCTAAGCTCTTCTGCTACAGCTGTGCCGCCAGAACCAACGCCCTTGTTAAACACAGCGAATGTGTCTCCACCTCAAATCACAGTCAGCCCGACACCCCCCACATCCACCATCGAGCAAGGACCCACTCCTTACCTGAGCTCGACCATAAGTCCTGTAACGACATTGATGCCGACACCTTCATCGCCTCCAACGTCTTCTGTCGTTACTCCGTTGGCGTTTGCTTCAGTATTGTCTTCGATCCTCGCCAACTCAACAACTCCAATGCAAACACCAAATGCCCAGTACTCTGCCTCGCCAACTTTACGGGCTGAAGGAGTGACCGCATCGGCACCAAGCCCATCGATAGCTTCGGCGACAAATTTCCCTCTTTCAGCGTCATCAGAGTCGATGAATTCCTATCAAACCGAAGCAAATCAATCGACACTCATTGCCCAGCTCCAAAGCAACGCACGGCGCCTTCCAGCTCCCGCCATCGCCGCCATCGTGGTGGGTGTCTGCACCATCGTCGCCCTCGCCGTCGTTTCTTTCGTGCTCTGGCGCCGCCGGAAGATGGCGCGGACACCGCGTGTTCTGAGCTCGGCCTCCTCCAGAAAATCCGGCGAAGATATCATGATATTCTTAGATATCGAGAGAGAGAAAGATGAAAGGGCCAAGAGCTCTGAGTCTCAAAGACCGAGTGGGAGAAGAGACGTTGAGATGGGCTCAATTCTCATTGCCCAGCCCAGGATGTCACCGCCAGTACCGGCCCGGCTCAACGAAGAGAGGGGTGGCTTAGGAGATCCTTGATGCGGTCATGTCATTGGCGAGATGCTTCCTTGCATATCTATCACAAGGGGGATCTTCGCATAGACTACACAACAAAAAGGATTCCTGGATCCGAACCGATCTGATCTCACCACCACAGAGCTACGAGGTGATGATGATGATGATGATGATCATAGCCGTGGAAAACACCAGATGGTCAACAATTAGACCTATCATAAGACACCACCCCGCGCCCCAAGAACTACAACGATAAGGCGGCAGCGAGTAGTGCTCTCCGTACGTACGTGGCCCCGGCACACCCGTTCGCCAGTCTCTGGTGGCAACGACAACAGCACGCCCACCCGCCTAGGCCAAGCACGTAGGGAAGGAAAATCACCACCCCGGCCCTCACCCACGAGCGGCTCTTTTATATTCGAAGAAGACGCTGCGGGCCGTGGGCATCCGCATCCGCAGCCTACCAAATCCCCAGCATTGCCAGTATCCGCACCAGCAGATACATCTGTGGGCGACTCTATGAACATAGTCGAAGGTCCTTCCTCCACCATGGTTACTCGCTCCAGCCTTGGCTCGGCTTCTTGCACGGGATGACCTGGACGGGAGAAGCAGACCCGACTCACGAGAGGAAGGAGATGAGAAGAAGAAATTCACGAGATGGAAGACGAACGAACGAACGATCGAACGAACGAACGAGCGAGCGGGCCGACATGAGCAAAATCCCCTTCTGATGAATACAACAACCATATTATAGATAGTAGATAGTACATAGTAGATACGATACGATAGATATACCCAGCACGATTCCATCTCGTTTATTCACTCGGATGGATGGATGGATGGATGGACGGAATCCTAACGAATAATGACCAAGCAAAGGAGAGAGAGAGAGAGACAGAAACAATGGGCTGCGCCTAGATTACCTTATTTTTTATATATATATGTATTTATATATTTTTTAACCAAAAAAAATCCATACACAATCTTTGCCTCGTCTGGATCCATCGTTTTCTCTTGTTCCCCTGCCCGGATGTCGTTCGCTTGGACAGGATGCAAAGAGCTCGCCTTACTTCTTTTTTACTTACTTACTTACTTACTTACTTATTTCTCTGTATGAGGGAGGGAAAGGAAAGAGATTTCCCCGCGCAAAGCATATCCCCCCTCCCTTCCTCCCTGCTCTCGTCCCGCCCGCGGATCGTTCGGTTCGTGATCTTCCAGCCTGACTGCTTGTTGGAGGAGAGGGAGGGATGGAGGTGAAGCCGTGAGTCTAGCCGACAGACGGCGTCCTTTGAGTCCTTCAGCGGTGTGGTGGTGGTGATGATGATGATGATGGTGATGATGATGATGATGATGACAGCTAGCTGGCTGGCTGGCTAGTTATATGTCGCAAGCCTTTTTTTGGGGGGGTGGGTCGAGGGGATCTGAAGCAGCAGCAGAGAAGTGAGAAGAAGAAGAAGAAGAAGAAGAAGAAGAAGCCAGCAGCATTCAAAAGCAAAGAAGGGGGAAAAAAGAAAAGGAGAGTAAAGCTGAAAAGGAGCTTGCGTAAGGCATTATTTAACGAGCGCCAATTCCAAAATATCCGAAGTCAGGGAGCGAGATGAGAAAGTGCGTAGTGCGTGGCCAGGGAGGGCCGGCGGGTGGAGGAAATGAGGAGATAAGATACCGGTAGATACAGCAGATAGATAGATCGGAGGGACTTCCTCAGCCTTGGAATTGATTCATGCTGGGCGTTGATCTGCTCGCTCGGGGAAGGGGGGAGATGACCTCTGTATGTAATATGTAATATGTGATATGTAATATGGGAGTAGCTGGACAGAGGGAGGGAAGGCCTCTGTTTGTGTGTTATACTGAACTGGTGGCAGCATTGGGAGGGGGCGTTGGAGGTTGTGTGTGGCTCGCTGCTGGCGTGCCGCTTTGGGAGCGGGGAGACGGGTATTTTCAACCGAGCTGGATTTTTAAGAGGTTGGAAAAAAATAAGAAGAGAAAAAAGGACTCTTACATTTGATGATGCGAGTATATATGTATGTATATTGACAAGGGGAGAAGAAATATAAAGGAGAGGTTGGTATATAAAAAGCGTGCTTCAGTTCCGTAATAGCTGACTGACATCTGATGGTAGCCATCGGTTCGGTTCGGTTTGGGATGATAGTAAAAAAAAAAAAAAAAAAAAAAAAGGGATTTTGAAACAGATAGTCTGGAATACTATTTGAGCCTTTATTCCTATTATAACCTCGCCTTCCTTGTTCCCGCGACGACTCTATCTTGAGCCCAGATTGAATCCCATTCGATTCTATAGAGGAGATGTTCTGGCTTGCTTGGGACGCTGACTTCTATTTGGGAATTAGCGTATCAGCATGCATGAGTATAAACATAAACACAAACACAAACACACGGATTCCTCCATCCATCCCCTTCCCCCCGAAAGTCCCTTTTCTCGAGAAGAAAGGCCAGAAATGACAAAATGCCCCCCTGCCCCCCCAAAAAAGGAAGAGAACAAGGACGTACTATGATGCTCAGCCGTACAATAAACCTTCTCCCCATCCAAACTCGTCATCTCGCCACGGATCAAAGCCATCGTCTTCCCAACTTGCAGGACCCGGCTGTGGATGCGGACCGTGGTGTCGACGGGGATGGCGCGCAGGTAGGAGATGTTGAGGGCGCGGGTCACGCCGCCGAGGAAGCTGCAGGGGCGGGGTGAGTATGTATATATATGTATATGTATATATGGAAGCTGAAGATGAAGTTTGGGAGAGGATGGGGAGGAGGAGAATGGGGAGGAGAATGGGGAGAAGAGGAGGAAGGGAGGAAACACACTCCCAGAAGCCAGGTCTAGCGAGGGGTCCAAGGGCGGTCGTGGTGCACATGTCGAAGATGACACCTGCTGCGCCGCCATCTTGACGATTGAAAAGAGGGAAAGCTGGATGTTAGCCTTGCGTCTCTTGTTCTTCTTCCTGCGATGTTAAAAAAAGAAAGAAAGAAAGAAAGAAAGACAGAAAGAACAGGAAAAAGGGGAGAAAAGGAGAAAAGATATCTGGCGGCTTTTTCCCGGTTGTCCTCTCTTGGGACTAGCAAGCAAGAAAGCAAGTTATCGAAACTTGTGGCATAGAACTAGAAGAAGAAGAAGAAGAAGAAAAGGAGGGGGGGAAAAAAGCGATGAAAAAAAGAAGGGGAGGAAAAGACAGAAATCAAGCGCCTGAGTGTAAACAAACAAACCAACACATACGCATCACCCCGTTGACATTCGCATACCGCTCCCCAACTACGAACTCGAAGGTGGCCGTGCCCGCGGGCGAGGCGTCGACTAGCAGGACGTTCTCCATGACGTGGCGGTCGAAGCCGTTGAAGTTCGTGGCTTGGGCGATTAGATGGTATCTATATTTACCCTCTCAATTAGTATGACTGCATGAGTATGAGTATGAGCATGAGCATAAGTATGAGTATAAGTTAAGCTGAGCCGAGTGGCTCTGAGGTTGTATTGAAGCGGATACAAAGCATGGAAGTGAGTAAAGTAAAGGGATTTGTAAATAGAGGATAGGACAAGCAATAAGAAAAGGAGGAGGAGAGCCCTTTCTCGCCTCGGAACGAAGGGGACATTCACGAGCAGAATATGCATGTAGATCCCTATACACATACTTATGTATACGTTCTCAAAGCAAACAGGCAAGAAACCAGCCGACCGAACAGAACAGAAACCTACCGATCGAAGATAGCCTGCACGCCTTTCATAGCCGTCGCCCGTGCTGCTGCTGCATCCGCCATGATCTCTATCTTGACAGCAGCTTTGCTTGCTTGGTTATCATGAGCTCAGCGTATAGCGTATAATCAATCCCCTCCCTTCCCTTTTTCCCTTTTGTTATTTTCTTGTTTTTTTAAAACGCGATCTGAGAATAAAAAGTGTGTTTAGGAGCGAGCTCATCTCAGCCTCAGCTAGCTAGTCTTAATCTCGCCACCCGGTCTTGGGTCTTAGTGCCTTAATCCTTAGGCTACCTACTCTAACCACCTCTACCTTCTGTATATGGAACTCTAAACGTGATTTTTGTTTTTTTGGTCATCGGTTTTTTTTTTCAAACACTATTATATACAGAGTAAGAGTAAAAGAGGCACACTTCTCGAGAAATCCCGTATTGAAACTTACAGATAAAGAGGTATCCTGAAAGAGCCCAAAGTCCCGCAGGTGTATTCCATCAGATCCGGAAATAGTCAAAGAATAATACTTTTTTCAAAGAATAATACATTTTTTTTCAAAGAATGATACTTTCTTTTCCTCCTCCAATAACGTGTAGAGCAGAAAGTAAACTTAGGTAAATAGGTAGATCTTTGGTCAAAGAGGGCGTTGCCTCGCGCTGGCGCTGGCCTCGCGTTCATATGCAATACGTAGTCGAAAGGCAGCCTTTCGTCGCGGCCGGTGTAGGATCATATCACGGTCCGGATGGACGTGATAGTGCCCGCTCACCCTCTCGCTCTCGGAAAGGTTTCCGTCTTAAGACGAGCATTTCGGCCAGTTGCTGTTCAATGTTCCACGGATAAATGAAAAAAAGAAAAAGAAGAAAAACCAATGGAAACTGACCCCAAGGAAAAGTAATGTATGTAATCCCGCCGCAGCCACACTTATACGTTGTCAAGTAATACAGCTGGCAGGATAAAAAGGCAATCAACAAGCGGAGTATGCAGTAAACAGTATGCAGTATGCAGTTTGCATTTTGCTTACACGAAGTCGATAATGGACGATGACAGATGATTATTGTTTGGCAGAATAATAGAAGTTGTGTACTTCGCATGTCGAAACTATCAAGTCGCCAATCGTTAAATACCTGACCGCGCTAGAGCGGCCGATACCTGATGAGGTTAGTTTAGTTATCGGCTACCGGTAGTTTACGGGCCGGGCCTTAGTCAGAGTATCTAGATTGGTAAGTGGAGTACGGAGTAGGGGTCCACGTACTGTAGTAGTCACTAGCGGGTGTCGATGTTATACGTACGGTAGCATCGATTTAAAAAAAAAAAAAAAAAAAAACCTATTCTCAATCAAGTCACAATCAAGTAACTGGCCCCGTGTATCAGTAGAACATGTGATTGTGACATATCATGTAGGCAGCCGGGCTTACGGCTCACCCCCCCCGTGGCTTGCTTACCCCGGTCACATGATTAGACCCACACCTATCCTGACTTATCTCCACTCCTTCCCGCCATCCCCGATCACATTTTCAAGGCATCCTGAGGCCGATCCTTTCCTACTCACTCCACGGATACTCTACGGATATTATTCTATGATTCTACCTACGCAATTGATGCCTGATTATGTCAGATGGGAAAAAAAAAAACAAAAAAACGAAAAAAACAGGAAAACAACCTGGCCCCGGTCAATCAACAGTCCGGATCTCATCATGTCTGGATCCACCGCCAGGCCAGCCAAAAAGCACAAAAAAGAGCTATCCTGCCCCCTTTTCGACCTTATAACCTATTTTCCACGTTGCTGAGCATCTTTCTGGCAAAGATTCCATGTCTACCTACCTTTATGATACATACACCCACATACTTCAATCCTCCTCTCATTCTTCTCTCTCCCCGCCCTCCACACCCTCCCTAAAATAAACCATGAAGTTCTCCTCCCACTTCCTCGCTGCTTCGAACCTCCTCCTCCTCCTCCTCCTCCTCACCTCCTCCACATTCGCTATTCCCACCGCTCAGCCAAACGCAGGAAACCTCAAGCGTATTGCGGACTCGGACATCAAACCTCGCGACGGCAGCGAACCCCTGAAATGGGACGGGAAATACTTCCACGAACCCGGTGGGGGCAATGAGCTCGGCCACTACGACATCCGCTACTTCACTGGCAACCCCGTTACCTACGAGGAGCGTGGACAGACGCTCTACCACCTCGTCCGCTCGTATCTGACCGTCTTCCGGGACCGCAACATCGAGACGTGGATTGCCCACGGCACTCTGCTGGGTTGGTGGTGGAACGGCAAGATCATGCCCTGGGACTGGGACCTCGACACGCAGGTCTCGGGGTCGACGCTGGCCTGGCTGGGCGCGAACATGAACATGACGTTGCATAACTACACCGTGTCCGCCGCGGACGGGACCGAGGTCTTCCGCGAGTACCTGCTCGATGTGAACCCCTTCTCAGCGGTGCGAGTCCGAGGGGACGGTCAGAATGTCATCGATGCGCGCTGGATCGATGTCCAGAGCGGGCTGTTCGTCGATATCACGGGGCTCAGCGAGACGGATCCGAGTGCGCGGCCGGGCATCTGGAGCTGCAAGAACTACCATAGGTATCGCACGAGGGACATCTACCCGTTACGGGAGACGGAGTTTGAGGGCGTGCCGGCCTTGGTGCCGTACTCTTTTGATCGCATCTTGACGGAGGAATACTCGGCGAGGGCCTTGACGAAGACGAAGCACGAGGGGTATGTTTCTCTTCCTTTTCCAGCTATCTGTGGAGGATCTGGACTGATGACAAGCAGGCATATCTGGGTCCCTGAGCAAAGAGAATGGATCAAGCAGGAGTATCTTGCCCAACACACCAACAGCCGCGGCCGCTCCACCCCTCACATCCCGCGCGGCCTTCAAGCTGAAGATAAGCCGAGGGCTGGCCTGGGAAACCTTTTGCGGGTACTGTAGAGTGAACATGAACAGCATAACGGCAGGTGTGAGAAGAGGGGGGTATTGTATAGAGGTATAAGGAAAGGAAAGGAAACGAGATGTGATACCCATGTGTATCGATAGCACCATTTGCATCTTTCTTGGCGTTTTGGAGGGAGGAGGGAGGGAATTGGATACCACTGCACAGATGGATGCCTCGGCGTTGCTGCATCAGAAGCATTACTCATCTGGATACGAGGACGCAGGCTATGGGGCAGGCGAAATTCCTGTCTTCTTTTCTTCATTGTTGTGTGAATTGAATGATTCTTGTATGTAGTGATGAAAGCTGGACCGGGACAATAAATACATGGGACGCCATTATTCGAAGCGAGAAGGCGTGCGAGCAAAGGTTTGTGAGAAAAGGCAAGGGATGGATGGGTGGAAAGGTAGCGCTCATCGTCTCATCGTAAAGGATGTTTGTTGATCTCTCGCTAAGTAGTAGCCAGGAAGCTCCAGCAAGGAGGTAAGAAACAGGGAAAGATTTAACAATAGAGGGAAAGAGGGGTCTGTAAGCGCGACGGATGAGAGCAAGAGAGAAAGAAAGAAAGGAAAAATATAATATAATAAAAAGGTGAGAAAAAGATGGGTACTGAATACCGTACCTACCGGTATTTGTATGTTTTTCAGTGGTACCGCTAAATAAGGAGTTGTGGGACGTGGGGGGTGGATGGGGGGAGATGGGGGGAGGGAAAGTCAAAGGGAGGGAGGGAAGGGGGGGGTTGAAAGGCTAATTTGTATTTGTACCGGTATTGTGTTACGTTATTTTTATCGTTTGGTTATTCTGTTGTTGTTGTTGTTGTTGTTGTTGTTTCAGTCGAGGTTTGGGGGAGAGGAGAGGGGAGGAGAGGAGAGGAGAGGAGCTGGTGAAGATGGAATGCGTTAAGTATCTCTATTTTTTCTTTCTTTTTTTGGGGGGTGGTGGGGGGGTTTGAATGGCTAAGTATTTGATTGTGAAGAGAGAGGGTGTGGATATGGATATGGATATGGATATGGATGAGATTCCAAAAAAAAAAAAAAAAACAACCGAGATGGATAGATAGCTGGATAGATAGCTGGATATATAGCTGGATAGGAAGCCAGAGGGAGAGGGAAAGAGTGAGAGTGAGAGTGAGAGCGAGAGTGAGAGGAAAAAGGTAAACGGCTTCCTTCCCTTGCTGTCCCTAGAAAACCAGCAGATTCACCTCCTGAAAGCCAAAAAAAAAAACCGATAAGGTCCTAGTTCTTTTTTTAGGAGGGCTGGAACTGGACGGAGGTCGGGAGGGGAACTTCTCGTCGAGTCGAAGAGGAAAGTCGATGGATGATGGTGATGATGATGGTATGTTAATGAATCTCGTAGCTAGCTATCTAGCTATCGATCTATTTATTTATATATAGATGTATGTATGTATGTATGTATGTATATATTATCCGACGTGCCAGTTCGCTGCATCTCTTACAGGTAAGCAGATGCCGGATAGAATTGAAGCTTGTATCGCGGCTGAAGGCTAGCATACTAAATATCAAGGTTCGTGCGCTTTCGAAAAATTAGCTTAAAAAAAAAGAAAAGATAAAAGGATTTTAAGGAATAAAATGATATTTTTTTCATTTAATTTGGATTTGTAATTATTGCGTAATTAAAGTATAAAAAATAGATGTCTATTGTTGATTTGGAGTTCTCGCTTAAATGGCCAACAGCAGTTGCCTAGTACTGTAGCTAGCTGTACATGTACATGTACATGTATAGCGCGCTAGCGGTGAATCAAACAATGGCATTGTTGTTCTGCTGCGTATCAAAGATACCTGTGTACTCTTACTACGCATGGTCTTCTTTCCTTATAGGGGGTGCGGGTGGGAGGGGGAGTTCGAGAATCGATATTAGAGACCAGCGGGGATCGCGAAGAAGATGAGTTAGGAACTATTATCTCGCTTTGTATCTACCTTACCTGGTATCGCACAGTCAGGCAGCGAGGCTTTAAATTGTAGTCCTTTTAAAAGCATCAATTATCTCACTTAAAAAGAAAGGGGGGGTTCCACCTACGCATTTCAATGGAAACGTTTCTTGGTTTTGAAGGTTCTAGATTTCATGTGCTGCCTGCCTGTCTATTCACAAAGTCGGATCCCAGAGGGAGTAGGGTATTTACCGTATCGGTATGAGTGGTATTAGTCCCGTGATTCCTCCCCGCGGAATCGCTTAGCCTACCTAGCTTGTCTTGTTGATCCCACGTATGATCGCCGAGTCCTATGTCCATAGCATACATACCGGTACACCTCGTAAAAACTCCCATCTCGAAGACTGCGACCCGCGGAAGTGGCCGCAGATGGAGGTAGACGAAAGAGGCACCTGAAAAAGAAAAACTGTAAAGCTCCGTCACCGCCCCTCCCACCTTCCGGAAAGTCATATCCCGACTCGCAGATGGCGACCGTGTCGAAAGGCTTCGCTCGCTAGCATATGAAGCGTTGCTGTACTATGTCCTCCGGAGAGAAATCTGCTTCTGTCTCTGGAGATGCTGTCTCAGGCTTTCCTTGCTCACGAACTTCCGCCTGCATTTCTCGGGCCAGGCAGGTGTGCGCCGTCACGCATGTGGCGTTGGTGTTGACGTGGCGATCTCTCTCGAATGCAAACTCGCAGGCGATCCGTTGGCAGGCGGGACACTGCAACTTCCGCCTCCCCACGCCTACCCGGAGCCGGGTCTCTCTCGCTGGTGTCTCTGAGCCTGGAGAAGTCCCGCTGCGGAGGCCGGCGGTGCTAGGTGCGGTGGAGCATCTTCTCTCGGCCGAGGGGCCGGGTCCGGGGCCATCTCCTGCTGTTCGGGGACTGACTGGCGGCTCCTCTGAGGAGGAGGAGGAGGAGGAGGAGGAAGGTCTGCGATTGGATGGGCTGGAACCGGTCCAGTCAATCTCCTTCCAGAGAAATGCTCGTCGTAGGTTTTGGTTTCTGTTGGATTTCATGGTCTGTCGCGTAGGTGTTGAGCAGATGATGGTTGGAGGTCTGATCTTATAAGCAGATTCCCTAGATTCGGGTTCCTCTTTAGGCTTGTTCTTCTTTTTCAGAACAGTATTCATATGGCCTCCGATGCGCGACTTGAGGTAGTAGGTAGCTATTTGCGACAACCCCATTGTCTGTCTCGCGCAGGACAAAGAGGAGTGTGAGTGAGTGGTGTCTCATTCTCTCGAACAAGGAACAGGGGAGGTGGCAAAATTCGCACCCTTAATGCAATAGAGAATAGAAGAGACTGTCACCTTCCGCTGACACTTTGCCGGGCGGGTTTAAAAGTCATTGTATTGGGATACTGCGAAGTCCTCAAAGCCGGGCAGGGCTAAGAGAGTACCCGAGACGACCACCGCATTGAGCCACCGCTAACTTACAAAGCAGCATCTTCGAGTATTTCGCCCAAGGCCTTTATTGAATGACCCATTTTCGTCGCTTAGATAGTTTTTTGGAACAGGACGGGGAAAAAATATCTGCGAGATGGGAGGAGCGGGGGTGAATAGCAATAACAATAACGACCCTCTGAACTTTCCAGAAAAAAAAAATTGGCAAAATTTGCAAAAATGGCAAAACTCAACTGGAAGCTCATATACTATAATGAGGTTCCAGTTTACAAACCTAATTGAATAGGTTTACCTTTGGGACAGTCTACGAATCAAACTGGCGAGATGGAGGTATAACTTAAAGTGACTATGCGCCACTAAGCCACCGCACCTTCCCGCCAGCTGATGGAAGACGGCCTCGGGATTTGTTATATCAAGTAGACAAAAATTTATGCCCGAGAAAGGGCCGGGCCGCGGATACAGGAGAGGGTTTCGGCCACAGAATTTTTTCACTTCAGGCCTTCACTAAAGGACCCCTTACGCCTTCGTTAAGGAGGTCCTCACTCCTTCGTCAGAGAGCTGGGCTGAAGGCGTAACGATCACTGAAAATCTAATCGTCACGATGGATATATGAGAAATGAAACTCCGATATTCGAACTCACTCCCTATGTTACTTAAAGAAAGGTCTTTGCTGAACACATACACATATACTTACTTCAAAGTCATTAATCAAGTCCGGGAGGGGTGAGGGGGGAGTTGGTTTCCAAATATATTTCTTGTAGTACTCTGAAGAGTTTCTTAGACTGGTTTTGTAGAGATCTACGCATTGCTCTCGATAACACAAAAAGGCAAACCCTTTGGCTTACTCACAAAGGCTCGCATCAGTCACCAGCGTCGGGCCTTGAGGCCTCATCTCCAGAGCTCACATGCGTGTTCCAATGATGCTCCTGATTCTCTCCACTCGTATCAAACACCATCGGGCACGTCTCTACAGGACAGCTGTACAAGGGCGGTACTGTACCACCTAGGGCTGGCAGATGCCATCCGCGACATGCTCATCGCGGCTCTGCTCTCCCGTGAACTGCTCGTTGCAGTGCTCGCAGACGAACGCCCGCCGGCAGATGCGCTTCCGGATATGGCTGGAGAGGGTGCCCTTCGACGCGAAGACGGTTTTGCAATACTCGCACGACAACTCGGTAGCTTTCCACTCGTCGGCCTCCCGGCAGACGCGGTCCCGGATATGCTGATTGTAGTTCTCCTTTGACGCGAAGGACTCGCCGCAGTGCTCGCACGTCGCCTGTACTGGTTTCCGCTCTTCGGGCCCCTGGCATACCCGATCCCGGACATGCGTGCGGTGGCTCTGCCTTTGCTTGAAGACCTCGCCGCAGTGGTGGCACGGGAAATCCTGCTGGCCGACGCGATTCTCGATATGGGTTCTGACGTGGATCTCGCGGAGGTCCGGGGTCTCGAACTTCTGAGGACAAGAGCGGCACGGGTAGCGTAGCCGCCGCCGCTCTTCTGCGTATTCGCTGAGATATGTATTTAGGAAGAGGTTTTCGGGTTCTTGAGGTGCCAGGGGAGGTTGGTCTCTGGGTAGTATCCAACTTGGTTGCTGGGTGTTGTTAGTTGGATTATTCAGGAGGGTACCTTCCGAGCTGGTAGCGCCGTCGCAGTCTGGCTCGTAATAGGTGATTTGGTCTCCGGGTAGCATCAAAGGTGGTTGCTGGGTGTTGTTGGCCATGGCATTGTCCTGGAGAGCACCTTCCGAAATGGTAGCGCCGTAGTAGCCTGGCTGACCGTCGATGAAGCCTAGCTGATCGTCGATGTAGCCTATCTGATCGTCGTAGTAGCCTGGCTGACCGTCGTTGTAGCCTGGCTGACCATCGTTGTAGCCTGGCTGACCGTCGTTGTAGCCTATCTGATCGTCGCTGTAGCCTAGCTGACCGTTGTCGTAGCCTAGCTGACCGTCGTATAAGCCTATCTGATCGTCGTAGTAGCCTAGCTGACCGTCGTCGTAGCCCAGCTGACCGTCGTAGAAGCCTATGTTGTTAGGTGTGTAAGACATTCTAGCGTTTCTGAGCTGTATATTTCAGTGTTTCTTTAGGGATCCTAGAGTAGTTCTATAGCACAACTTTGTCGACTATAATTGTTTGGTCTTCAGCTATGAGTCCAGAACGTCTCTAAGCTCTGTGTGAATCACAACTTTCCATGTTATGCATATTCTGATAGAGCTGTTCCGCATACGGTTCTTCTGAAAGACACATGAGAGAGTCAAAGAGGCTTTTCGCTCGGCTTGGATAACAAACCCGTGAATGGTTAAGACAAGGTGTGATTGTTGCTGTGTCGTCGATTTGAGCGTGGAACGTGATAAAGCGTATTGACTTCTACGCACTGACTCGAGGGTCTACTTTATGCGATGATAGAGTATTCAGAAAGATTGTATAGACGTAAAGTATGGCTTATAATCTCTATTACTATAGCATGAAGAGCCAGCAAGAAGTGTTGTCTACCTACTCTCTACGGCTTGCTTAACTCAACCAGGCCACCACAGCACTTCAACAATCGATTGATCTCGACCAATTTGACCCCGTTTATTTTTTACAAAATTTCAATCTCCCCCAATAGCCATTTTTATAGCTGCAAAAGCTTGGGGTGTACGATTCTATCAAGCGTTGCATTCACATCAGATTTACTCAACGCCGTTTTGTACAGACTTGGCCCGGTTTGAAAAAAGCCGGAAAGGTGCCCGGCATTTGGGTCAGATTTAAAATCGTTTGTACAACAACCAAGCTTGCAGATACACCTATTCAGAGTTTTCACAAACCCGGTATTTGAAGAGGTTTTTACATATTGGCGCTGAATCCAGACGGGTCCTAGACCCAAGAAGAACTCAATGAATAGGGGGGGGGGGGGGACGCGATGATCACTATGCATGCATACACTGAAAGCATTCTTCAGTCACTTTTAGTAACGATTGACATGAAATGGAAGAGACATCTGAATAATCGATAGAATTCGGCCTGCCTATCGAAAGAAAAGACCAGGTGGCGGAAGGAAAGCAAAGGTGAGGGAAATCCGACGACCTACTGACTGACCTACCACCTACTGACTTCAACCCAAAAACCCTCCAAACTCTCTCTGATAAGACAGCGGAAGGTAAGCAAAAGTGAAAAGAAAAACCTACTTAGCTACTTGCTAACACTTCAACCCAAACTCCCTCCGATGACTTCCCTTCTCCACCATAGATAGGCTCGCTCCCCTTACTTACCGCGACCATTCTCGAAGTCCTTGTCCGCGTGGAAATTCTGGAGGTGGGCCTTGAGACTCTCGTCTCGAGCGAAGATCATGTGGCACTTCCTGCAGACGACTTGCTTTTCCGCGACAGCGTGCATCTCCTTGATGTGGCGTCTGAGATTCGAAAAGCTCGCGAAGACCCGATGGCATTGCTCGCAGGTGTTATTGGCCTTTTCCACGGCTTTATACTCGTTGGGGTGGCACTCCAGGAGGTGGTCCTTGAGGGTGTATTTGAACTTGAATGCCTGGGGGCAGAAGTTGCACTCGTAATTGGCAGGATTTTTGGTCCAGGAGAGCTTTGAGGTGGCTGAGGGATCGGTTGGGTCGTGTTGCTGCTGCTGTTGCGGAGGAGAGGCCTCGGTGGTTGACTGGATGTCCCATTCGAGGTCGGTGCCTTCGTAGATGTTTGTGAGTGGTTCGTTACCTTGTTCTCTGGGCTGTACTGGGTACGGTGGCTGCTGCTGCTGCTGCTGCTGCTGCTGCTGCTGTTGCTGCTGCTGTTCCGGCTGTTCCGGAGGAGGGGGGGTGGCGGTTGACCGGATGGCCCATTCAAAGTCGGTGCCTATGTAGATGTTTGTGTTAGTGGACATAACTGCTGAGATTTGGAAGATACCGTTAGGCGTTTTGTCTGTAGGTAGTTCGTTGCTTTCTTCTTTGGATTGTACTGTGTGCGATGCGAGTAAGTGAGTGATGGCAGGCAGTATATATACCTGCCATGCAGAGCTGTTCGGAACGAATAGAACACTGATCAGAACGAACAGCACCGAGTCGCTCGCATCCGACAAAGAAACTTCGGAACAATAGCCTTGTAAAGATTCCTTTCACGATCGGACAGAATCCAATTATTAGACACAAATTACAGGGCCTTTGTTTTGTTGAGATAAAGAGCATCTTGACCGGGTTTTCCAAAAACTGGTGAAACAATTTCATTTAGAAAGGATGAAAACCTTGGAGCATTAGCATTATAAAAATCCCATTTACAATCGAGAAATCCAATGAATACACGCATAAAATCAAAAAACCTCACTTTGAACTTTGATAGATAGAATAGATAAAATAAAGCGCGCCCCGTCAAAGAGAACCCCAAAGCTTGTAGAAAGAAACCAGCAACAGCAGTCAGCTAACGCGGGGGGGTTTTCTCTCTCTCTCTCTCTCCCACTCTCCCTCCCCTCTCCTGATCAAGTCAAATACATCAAGTTTCTCCCTCTCCTTTTCTGCCCCCTCCGATAGAAAAAAAGGTGCCAGCCAAGCTTACTTTCCGCAAGTCCGTCCGTCCGACTGAATTCTCATCACGCCATAAAGAAAGAACAGTGAAAAAATAAATAAATCAAAGGAGAAATGAACAAATGAACAAATGAACAAATGAACAAATGAACAAATGAACAAATGAACAAATGAACAAATGAACAAATGAACAAATGAACAAATGAACAAATGAACAAATGAACAATAGACCGTAATGGTGGTAGTCACACTCCCGATAATTGTATCCTTTCCAGCAACCTTACACACGATCAAGTCGGGTCAAGTATGCACGCATGCATGCTTCCATAGTAAGATAAGTGCTAGAAAAAAAAAAAAGATATAAAAAAAATTGATAAAAAACTCTAGCCCCGTTTCCTACCTCAAAATGATTCATTTAGCAAAGTCTAGTCTAGTCTAATCTTGCAGGATGCATGTATACATGCATACACGGACGCACTCACGTCTCAACTGCTTACATCGATCGTTCCGTTCCGTCTCGATATGTACTTGAGTAAGCTAGGAGGTAGGTACCTGATTCCTTTTCCCAAACTCCAATCCCCGATAGAAAAAAGTAGACGCCGCTCTCGAAGCTAGCGACCCAGCCTTGTGACACGAGAGGTCAGGCTATATGGTCGGGGGGTCATGCTGCTTGCTACTCCTCCCCTCTCGGTTGACCTCCCTCTCGCAGGTCTCAAACTTCCTGACAAGCGAGTTGGACGTGGCGGTAAGCTTCCGCAGGAGAAAGATCGGGATGGTGATTACGGTAGTGGCGGACGAGATCGTTGGATCGGCTGAATCTCATGTTGCAGCGCTCGACGGAGCAGAGGAAGGGCCGGGAATGGTCGTGGTATACTCTGACGTGATGGCTCATTCGGGAGTGATAGAGGAATTGGCGATTGCAGTGGGGGCATTCGTGAGCCCCGCTGGTCTGGACCTGTGGTGGCCGGGCAGCGGCTTGTATGGATATCGACGGGTGGTTTGGTTGATCGTAACTTTGTGGCGGTCGCTGCTGGGACATCCCGACGTAGCCGCGTGAGCCAGGACCCATCTGAGGCTCCCAGAACACACTTTGTTGCAGAAGCCACTGCTTTGGCTCGCCGGGCTCTTGCTGTGGTCGTGGTGCTTCTTGGGCCTGGCTTCCTCGAGGGTAGGGCAGGTCCATGCCCAAGCCCATTTCTATGCCCAATCCAATGCCCTCCGGAGGTTCTTCTTCTTCGTCGTCGAGAGCCAGCTCTTCTGGATACGGCGATACGTTCCCCACCTCCATGGTATCCTCTGGCCACATATTTCGCTGTCGAGGAGACACCTGAGGTCTGTTTGTCATCTGAAGACGAGCATCTTCTTGCTGTTGCGATGGGTCCCAATCAAGAAATCCTAGAGTCTCAGGTCGGGGTTCCATCCAGGGCTCATTCATCCTCAGACTACCATCCTTGGTTTGCTGCACTGGCGCCCATGCCGCAGTCATCATATCCGGTGGACCTGCCGACGATGGTTCCCAACTATGAAATCCTTGAATCTCACGTCCGGGTTCCATCCAGAGCTCATTATCCTGGATTTGCTGCATACCTTGAAATCCTTGAATCTCAAGTCCAGGTTCTTCCATCCAGGGCCTATTCACCCCCAGAAGACTGTTATCCTGGATTTGCTGCATACCTTGAAATCCCTGAATCTCAAGTCCGGGTTCTTCCATCGGCTCATTCATCCCTAGAAGACTGTTATCTTGGGTTTGCTGCATACCTTGAAATCCTTGAATCTCAAGTCCGGGCTCTCCCATCCAGGGCTCATTCATCCCCAGAAGACTGTTATCCTGCATACCCTGAAATCCCCGAATCTCAAGTCCTGGTTCTTCCATCCAGGGCTCACTCATCCCCAGAAAACCATCCTCCTGCGTTTGCTGCTGCATCGACGCCCACGCCGCAGCCATCACATCTAGACCTGCCGGCGGTAGTTCCCAACCCTGGAATCCTTGCATCTCAGGTCCGGGTCCTGCCATCCAAGGTCCAACCATCCCCAGAAGACCATCGTCCTGAGTGTGCGCCTGCATCGGCGCCCATCCCGCAGTCATCATCGTATCACCAGGTGGACCTGCCGCGTGTTGTGAGTAAGGCCCCTCTGGTAGTAGTTGTTGCAGAAACGCTGGGTTGCTCGTCTGTCCAGGTGGGGGGAAGCTTACAAAGTCTTGATAATTCGGGAGCCCATCATTCATAGCCAGCAGCGCCTGCGTTGCGGGGTCGATTTCTGGATCTGGCTCCGAGAACGGGGCGTACCACTGATATTCTTGCTCGTCGTCGTCGATTTTTGACATGGAAGGATCCAGGTCCATTTTCTCGCTTGTTGGTGGTGGTGTTAGTGGTGGTGGTGTCTCCGCGGTTTCCTAACGAGGATGGATTTGGGGGCTGTCCCCGAGTAAGTAAGCGATCAGAAGATCGGCTCGGATCGCACCCTTTTTATCCCAACGTCCCTTCGAGGGAACCCATCATATATACACCGATGTATTGGGTGTCACATCGCCCTGTTTCAGAAACACAATCTGCTGTCTAGATAGAGACCGTCAAGTATTTGGATAGCCTGTTTAGACCTCGGAACAATACATAGCTTTCGCTGATTTCCTTTGTGGACAGACTTCCTTTGTGCCGGCGAATGTCGAGAACAGTGGGGAGAAATACACGATGAGAAATACATGACATTAGCCTATTGCTCTCTAACTAAGAATTTTGGAAAGAAAGGATAGAGTTGATGACAATCCACTTGACGACTTCTTTACGCGGACAAATCGTTTGGTTTGCCAACGACGTAGAAAAGGGGGTGTGGGGGGTTCCGAAATCTGATGACTGCGTTCCGGTGTAATGCCTAATCCTCGATTCCGATTCCGATTCCTTGTCTCCAAAAAATAGGCCTCTGAGTCATTTCCAACTCCACTCTCAAGGTTAAATAAAACACATCAAATAACACGATGAAGGATTCCGATTCCCGATGCACACCGAAAAAAAAGCCCCACGTAGCCACGCAAAGCAATAAGCAATTCTGATTCCCCATGATGCAAACGCTTCAAGCCTGAGACGGATTTAGCCGTAAAACTGTGTAAGGGGGCAGAATGAAAGCTCAATACAGGACCGAATGTGGAGTACTTGAGATAGAGATTGTTGAGGCTTGTTGGCGCATCAGGTATTCCGCTAGCATCTGAACTGTTCCGTACGAGGGAGGTCTAGAGGGGACTAACTGTTGGTGCCTTTCGACAACTCATAGTCTCCGTGCAACAACAAGGGCAAAAAACAAGATGTGTATGTAACGCTTGAGAGAACAACAATGATAGCAAGAAGTCAGACACATGCATGATAAAGAAAACACCCGTTTGGCACTCAGAACTCATCGAGCCCACACACTAGTGATGAGCCAGAGAAATCTCAGACTCTTTGTAACATGAGAATATCAGCTTACAAGCACTTGCTAGAGCTGGAATTGTCGCTCCCGTCCCAACCAACCAAGCATAGGTTGCAGAGCCCCGGGTAGCAGTCGCTGCGCTCTTTATTTTGTGAAATGCAAGGAGACCCCAATCTGACTAGTTGTACAAACGCCGATGCATGCTCGCAGAGATCCAAGAGTATTCCCTTTCTACCAAGCCTTGATGCATTCATGCTGTGCCCGCCCATCCCGTGTAACGCCCTCTAAATAAGTAAAAGAAATTTGCTATAATCCATGGAACTCTTGTCCCTCGTCCACGTCTACCCCCTTAGAGCCGTATGTAGACATCCACGCACGGCAGTCGCCATTCCCTCTTTCCTAGAAGACTCCGCAGCCACTCGACGCCGATGCCGGTCCACTCAGTCCGCATCGCCAGCCGGCGCTTTATCTCTTCCAGCGCCATCCCCGCCAGCGCGGCCGCGGTGTTGTTCAGCGCGCCTACGTAGGTCGAGAGTTCCTCGAGGGTCGGGTCCGGCAGCGATGAGTTGGCCGGCGGCTCCGGGGACAGCGGCGTCGGTGCCAAGGACCTGGGCTCAAACCAGTTGCTGCTGAAGTCGAAGAAGCAGTGGTCGGACCAGTGACACGACGAGGCGAATAGGATCAGGAGCAGGAAGGAGCAGTAGATGCAGGGCCGGTTGAGGAAGTACGTGCAGATGAAGAAGAGGAAGATGAAGATGGGCGAGGCGTTCGTCGGGATGAAGAGGAGGGGGAGCCAACTGCGAGCGCGAGGAAGCACGGCGCATTACATTAGCTGGGACTTTGGGATCGGGGGATGGGACGTGAGAAAGTCGCACACGACACGTACCTCCGTAGACAGAACATTCTTCTTGTGGTTTTTGTTGTGGTTGTTGCTGCTGTTGCTCTAGGTTATGTAGTCATTGGTGAGTCTGAGTTTGAGTTGAGGTAAGAGTCCGCAAGCAGTGGCCCGACACGAGGTGCCGTATGCGCTATGTGGGTATGGATGTAAGTGTGTATATATGTATGTAGAGTAGTACGGGAATACCGAGCTGTCAAGGAACGCGATTCGGATGGATGGACAAGTGGATCGATAGTAGGTACCGGTAGGTAGCTTTACGGAGATGGCAGCGTAAGGTCTCGTGGCAGACACGGGTGGTACGGAGCGGGCGCAAAGGACCGGGCAGGATATTCCAAGGATTACCTTGAGGATGGAGTAGGTCGTTACTTGGATGTAATTGTGAATCAGATAGCTAATAAGTGAAAGTAGATTTTTTAGATTTCTAGATTCTAGATTTCTGGCTTTCTAGCTTTCTAGATCTCTAAATTTCTAGCTTTCTAGCTTTCTAGCGTTCTAGCTTTCTACCGTTCTAGCTTTCTAGCTTTCTAGCTTTCTAGCTTTCTAGCTTTCTAGATCTCTAGATCTCTAGCTTTCTAGATCTCTAAATTTCCAGATTTCTCCATTTCTAGGTTTCTGAATCTCTAGATTTCTAGATTCCCCGATTTCCCGTCTCCACTCCATCAAGGGCACTTGATTACCTATTGCCTACCTACCTATATTACCTTTACCTACCGGTATTCGCCTCTTCACCTGTTTCCTCCTCACTCACCCAACTCCCGTCGCTTCCTCCTGTGCCTGCCCTGCCCTGCCCCGCCCCACACCGCCCCGCCCCACTACTTACCCCGATAACCATCCCAATCCAGCCAATCAGGGCTCTGGCCTCGAGCTAAGTACAATTAGGCAGCGCTAGCCTGTCGTCAAGCTCCATTTATTTCCACCTCCACTGCAAAACCTTTAGATCTCTCAACTTCTCAACCTCTCGATTTCTCAACCTCTCACCATTTCATCCCACTCCGCCTCACTACCACACCCACCACTACAACAACCTCAAACCCTCTTTCTCCCGTACTACACCCACCACCACCTTTCCTTCTTCCCCGTCACCGATACAACTGCTAAATCTCTTGACAGTATTCTTCTTTGCTTCTTCCCGAGCAAAGCAAAGCAAAAACACAAGCAACACAACGCAACGCAACGCCACGAAAAACGCAAGAAAAGAAGAAGCAACTGTCGCGCATCGTTTTGTTCGGTTCCTCGACATCATCTCACCTTCCGCCTTTCTGCCTTTCAGTTTCCCATTTTGATTGATCTATACCTTTCCATTTGCGCACCCCCGCCTTGGTGCGCGCTCACTTTTCGCCATGTCTGGATATCCCGCGGGCGCTGGTGAGGGCTCGGGTTTGGATTCTCTTCTCGCCCAGCTCCGTCAACAGAACAAGCCCATTCAATTGGAGCCTAGCTACAGCTACTATGCGAACGGGATCAATAACAATTACTTTGGCCACCCTGGATCTGCTGCTGCTCAGCAGCAACAACAACAACAGAGCTACCAGCCAGCCTCAGTCTCTTCACCTATTCCTACACCCCCAGTCGGCGGCAATCAGCAACCCCATCACTCCTCTGGCGTCATGAGTCCGATTGAGAGCCCAGCCCACCACTACCAACGTACTCCTGCTCCTGTGGGCGCGTCCTCCAATGCCGACCGCACTTCAAGCTTACTCAACTTGTTGAAGTTCAGTCAGGCATCTACTGATACCCCGACCCCAGCTGCTCCGATTGGCACACCTCTTTCTCCAACCCGCGATATCTCTGCGACATATGCCGGCCCAGGCAGTGCATCGAACCATGGTCGTGGGGATTCTGAATTGCTGGCAGCTCTCATGGGCGCCCAAGCCAGAACTCCTCAGCAGGCGAGCCCTCAGTTTACACCTTCCTTACAACGACACCAATCCACTTTCGGTAGCACGTCTCCTCCAGCTGTGGATACACAAAACTACCTCCTCTCACTGTTGAATCAACCGAAGCCGTCGCAATCTGACGCGACTTCGCAATTTAAGCCAGCGAAGGTTATGACCCCGCCAAGCAAGGCCAGCTCCCAAGACGATGTCGATGAGCTTGCTCAAGCCTTGGAGGAGTCGACTATCAAATATACCACGATGGGATCAGCAGCCACCGAGGGCATTTCATCGCTTGCAAAGGAAAACACCAGAGAGCCCACACCAAAGAATGCACCAAGTCTATTCACCTACGTCAATCCTTTTGAACAACTTGCGGCATCGTCCCCACGAAACCGCACACCGAAGATCGCATCAGCGGACTCGCCATCTCTGGGTAGCTCCAAGATCCAAATTTTGAGACGCCAAGAGCCATCAGACCACAAACGCAAGAACGAAGGCACTTCCGGTACATCGAGCCCAGCTCACCTCAGACAAAAGATGGAACCTTCTCCACAAGCCTCGTCTCCCTCACCTGCCCCCCTTCCGGACGGACGTACTCCGGTTGAAGCTTTGATCGGCATTGGCGCGGTAGAGAAGACAGGTGTTCATGCGACTCTTAGCAAAGTCGGTGACCAGGCAGATAAAGAAGTCCAGGAGGCTATCACTCATGCTGAAAATGCAGAGGGCCAGGCATCGATCGAGAGAGATCTTAGAGACATGTTGGCAGCTACAACTGAGAAGGAGTTCGAGATGACCGCTCAAAATGCAGCTGCTGCCATTAAGCAGGAGCTAGAGAAGGAGGAGTTCAGCGGTGCGCTCGATAGTCTTCCGGCTCCCCTCGCTGAAGAAGTCAAGTCCATCATTGACGAGGCTGCCCATGGCCACATTGCAGATAGCTGGGAGAGTGCGGATGCTGAGGACAATCTAGCCAAGGAGGAGGATGACGTTGTGGTCAAGGTGTTCAACTTCCCCATGAAGCCCTGGTCTGGTATCACAATTAAGGAGTCTGTGGAGGCTCGTCCCAACTTCCGCGACGAGGCCGTCATGGATGTGGCACGACTCAAGAAGGAATTCGATCAGGTCGACAGAACACTTGTCACTGCTTCCAACAATTACATCGTCTATGGCATGTCGAGCAAAGGCGGCGTGCGCATCATCAGACAGGATGACGGCAAAGATGCAAAAATCTTCATTGACGCACATGATCGCATCTTCAGCGTTGTGACTTCCGCGTCCTCGGCCGAGCAGAAGGAGTGCGTTATCGGTACTGGCATCTCCGGCACCGTCTACTGGGCTCTCATCAAGGATGGGGAGATTGACCATATTGAGGACAACCCTGAACTATACGGCTTTGCTCTTCCCCCGATCCAATCCTCTGATAGCGAAACACCTGGAGGTGTGTTGAAGACCAGAGCGAGAAAGAGCTCCAGTCACCCTGAGTTCTTCGCTGTTGGCCGTGGCAAGTTCATTCACGTTGTTTGGCCATCCATCATCCTCAAGCAGTCACTCTTGAAGAATGGGAAGGATCGTGTTGTGGACGTCGAGAAATATCTCAGCAAGCAGTCATTGAAGGTCAATACTGGCAAGGCTGGCAAGGACTTCACTTTCAGCGAAGACGATACAATCATTGTATCTCTCGACAAGGCTGGTAGAGTCAAATTCTGGGACGTTCGCAGTCTCACTTCAGCTGATATCGGCGCTCATCCATCGCGTCCTCAGCAGATTGAGATCAAGGAACCTTTGCTGACCTTCACAACTATCCCAGCCAGTGAGAAGTCATGGCCAACTTCTGTTCTATTTGTCGACAAGCTGCGACCATATCAACGTGGTGGTGCATTGAGATATCTCATCGTCGGCATGAAGCAGAACCATACTCTGCAGTTGTGGGATCTTGCTTTAGCCAAGCCCGTCCAGGAAATTCACCTCCCTCACAGCAAGGAATCCGACGCCGTTTGCAGTGTTCTGTATCATGCAGCTACTGGAATGATTGTTGTTGGCCACCCAACTCGAAACTCCATCTACTTCCTGCACTTGTCTGCTCCGAAATACAATCTACCAAAGAGCATGACCCAAGCTGAATACATGGAAAAGCTCGTCGCAGCTGATTCCTCACTTCCTAAGCCAGAGTCGACCGCTGTAATCAGTGGAATGCGTGAATACTCCTTTGCCAACAAGGGCATTCTACGAAGCCTCGATATTCTGCAAACACCAAATTCTGCTGCTGCAAAAAACGCCGAGCCGGCAAGTCTGTTCGAGCTTTACGCCATGCACTCGAAGGGCGTTACTTGCCTTACCATCAAGCAGGCCGATCTTGGCTGGACCTCCGACAACAAGGTCATCTCCCCAATCGATGCCAAGGCCACCGGCGTCATCACGATCGAGACCCTCAAGGACCTGACTCCTCCAGTTGCCCCCGAGGTCATCGATTCTACTCCTCATGCCACAGGCCCTACTCGTATTGTCCCACGCCCCACCCCAAAGGAGCCCTCGATCAAGGAGAGTCCGAAGAAGGTTCACCCGGGAGAATCATCGACAGCTGCGGCAAAAGCCGACGCTAAGGCTGAGAAAAAGGACCAGAACGCCAATAGTGGCTTGGCTTCTGTTAACTCAGAGAAATCCGAGAAGAGGAAGCGAAGAAAGGGTGCAACCGATTCGGCACCAGCTGACGCCGGCCCATCCTCTAAGCCTATTGTCCTCGACCCTTCATCTCATGCTAGGAATGGCGCTCTCTCGTCGAAGGCGAACGCCAATTCCGAATCCAGTGCCGCAGCTGGTGTTTCACAAGAACTTAGCGACGCAACACTCAAGAACATCGAGGCTCGTATATCTGGCGAAGTCACGAAGGGGTTTGGTGAATCTCTCGGCGAAGTCAAGAAGGGGTTCGGTGAATCTCTCGATACTCTTTACAGAAATATCAAGGACGATCGACGCGCTCAAGGAGCTGTGTTTGAAGCTAAGCAGGACGCCATGCTCCGCCTTGTGTCCAGCACTCTGGCTGAGAACATGGAAACAACCTTGAGTCGTAAGATCAACGAAGGTTTTCAGCAATTCGTCATTCCTGCAGTGGCCGAGGCTTCTCAGAAGGCCCTCAATGAGAAACAACTTGGTCTAGCACTGAGCGCCCAGTTGAAAGAGTTCCAGAAGATGGTGGCTGAATCAGTTGTCAAGAGCGTTGCGTCTGCCGTCACACCGTTGCGTGAAGACATCGCAGATCTCCATCGCCGAAACTTAGATACGACCAATGCTATCAAACAACTGAGCGCTGCTATCAAACAACAGAACGATGCCAAAAAACAACAGAGCCAGGCAGACAGCGTCAAAATTGAGCAATTGACACAACTGGTCACTGCGCAACAGAATGATGCTAAGAAACAACAGAGCCAGGCAGATAGCGTCAAGATTGAGCAATTGACACAACTGGTCGCTGGTTTGACTGCGACCATTTCTTCAATGGCTGAAGCACAGACTGATTTCCAGGCTCAGTTTCTCAAGGTTCAGGAGCAAGCTGCGGCAGACAGACGCCAACTCACATCGCATGAAGGAAGCGCCAGTACCGGCACTGGCGGCCGCGCTCCGTCTATTTCGAGACCTTCGACTTCTCAAACTGTTCACACTGTTCACAATTCAGTCGTTGAAAAGACGGCTGCCGAGAAGGAGTACGAGACCGTATTGAGCAACATTAACGCAGCCATGCAGGCCGGTAACTTTGACCATGCCGTGGTTCAGTGGCTCCAAACTCGCCAGGAGCAAGTGTTCTACAGAAAATACTTTGTCAGCTTTGATCCCGAATTTCTGCAAGGATTAAGCCCACTCTTGCTCTTGTCCCTCGGTGCTACAATCAGTCTCGACTTCAGTGGTGACCTTCTCCCTGAACGCATCTCGTGGATGGAGACTATAGTCAGCTCTTTCCAAGCCCATATCAACGCAGGCACCATTGTAAGTCGGCCTCCTAGATTTCTTCATTTACTGGGCTAACTTGCAAATAGGATCTTCAAGTTCGCGATCTCGTTCCTAAGATCATGGGAATCTACGTTCAACGCCTTGAGCACTTGTTCATGCGCATCAGTCAGGTCGCAGCTCATGACCCTCTCCTCAAGAGACTGTCACTTCTGGTCGTCGCTGCAAACCGAGTTCTTGAGACAGCTGTGCCTGGTAGCGTCGCTTCGGCGTCTCACATTGCTCGCAGTCAATGAAGGCTCGCCTCCTAATCATATCGACATACCTATTCCTCCCGTCATTGATAGCTCATCTGGGCTACCTTTTGATTAGACGATCTACTCGACAATCTGGTAGAAAGATCCTCGTACTCAATTGGACAAACAAACCTTCGGATCTCGCTCTGGCTTTCTGAGGTGCTGGAATGCTCTCCTCGTCGCCGCGGGATCCGTCTCTTCATCCCCCGGGAATGAATATGTGCAATAAACTTTTCAATTTGATTTTTTTCCCCTTTCATCACAACGGAATAGAAAATTTCTATCTGTTCTCATTGCCGGCGTTTTGAGCCTAAAATACGAGCGTTCCCATCAGCTTTCTGCTGATAATTTATGACGAGAGCATGGGGGTATCCAGGTGGGGGTGTGTATGAACGGTACGACTGGATCATTCATGCCCTTTCATCAACAGGCTTGCATAATGAAGCTGCCATGGCTTTTCTAGCATGACCCTGTTGTATCCATAGAGAAGATATAGTAGCAATACATGAGTGTTGCAAACAAAGTGAAGTTTTGACCAAGTAACGTGAGACAGAGGGCAATAGCAACCAACTTCTTAAGGGGGAGGGATAGCAAGGTTGATGCCTGCAAGTGCAGTCAAGTATTTGGGCCTATCTGACTATGAGATGAGTTTGTATCTACTCGTACCTGGACGATTTTTGTGAAAGAACACCTCAATTGCGGAGTGGTGGACTCGGTTTTGTATTGCAAGCTGTGTAGCTCACAAGCCCAGAAGCCCTCTCAGGAGAAATCGCCTACAATACAACTCAATTCAGAACTCCGAGACTCACTCAAATAACACACTCATTCCTTGCAAGAACATTTCGTTCGTAAAAGCCGTATACGTATACCATACATGGACTGTGACCGCCAAACCAAGCCCGTTAAGCAAGCCAGCAGACAAGCGTCCTAAAATCTATCCTTGTTTCTTTTTCCCCTGCTTCTCCGAGAAATATATATATATATATATATATATATATATATATATATAGT